CTGGGCTACAAAGTGAGTTCAAAGGCCAGCCTGAACTGCATAGCGAGACCCTGTCTCAAAAAGACCAAAAAAAAAAAAAAAAAAAACCAAGATAATAAACAAAACAACAAATAAAGGACAGTGAGATAAACCTTGTCTCAAAAATAATTCTAAAAGGGTTTGGATGTAGCTCAATGCAAAGGTCCTGGATTAAATCCATAGTACCACAAAAACAAAAACAAGCCCTGCATGGTGGCACATGCCTGTAAACTCAGCACTGGGGAAGCTGAGGCAGGAGGACTGCCACGCTTTTGAGGCCAACCCAAACTACATAGTGAGACCCTGTGTCAAAACACAAGCATGAGGTCCTGAGTTCAGTTCCAGGTACCAAAAACAAAAAACAAAAAAACCTAGCTCCATCCTGTAGAGGCCACACTTCCCTATTCACACCTTACCAGGGGAAGCCATACCTAGGTCAGGTAGCAGAGGAGGCAGCTGGCCCAGGCACAGGACCCTCTCGATGGTCAGGGCGACCCCACTGCACAGAGGCACGCCAAGGGCCCCTGCACAGTACTCAAGGCCATTCGGCGGTGCAGGGAAGCTGCCCAGCGACCTTGGGCTCTGTCTCTCCTTGTACTCAACAAGAAACATTGCTGGGACACCCCCCCGCCGCAGGGGCTGGGAGTGGGGGAGACTTCGGTAGACTCACCCGTGGCCAAGCGGGGGTTGGGCACATGGGCGATCCTCCTCTTCTCCCCGGGGGCAGAGATGTGGACAGAGGCGAGTTTCTCTGGCTGTCGTGGGGCAGCCTGTAGCCAGCTGGCCGACTCCCTCTGTGCCTGCTGGGCCCTCCGGTAGCACACTTCTTGCGCGGTTGGGAGCCGGGCTGGGGTTGTCGCCGGGCCCCTCCTCGGGGGCTCTACCTGGATGAAGACAAGTCTTGGGACCTGGCTGTGTGTCTGGAGCACCCAGGGATGGGAGCCCTGCAGAGGTGGGCAGCAAGGCAGCAGGGGCTCCTGGGTTGTGTGTGTCACCCTCCCCCTGGCCACACTGTGAGCTTCTGGCCTCCATGGCAGAAAGCAGCACAAGGCCATGGTCTGCATCTGCCGATTCTGCCCTGGATGCCCAGGCCAGGCTTGATATAGAGGTAGGGTGGGGAGGGAATCAACAAACCCTCCCTAAGGCTGTGTTTAACCCAATCCCCAGAAACTCCAGCCCCTCCCCCAGGAAGGTTAGAGACTGAGTCAATGAGAGCTCTGGGTAGCTCTGCCCCTCCTTTCCAGTGCTAGCTCGTTGCCCCCCACAGCTGCACAGAAGGGAGGCAAGGGTAGGCAATCTGCCCCAGACCACACAGCTCACCAGGGCCAGGAGCACAACCACTCTTTCCCACTGTGTCCTTCTGCGGAGCTGTGGACAGTCTGAAGGCAGACTTGGTGGGCCACACTCCTCCCACAGGACCCAGGCGGTGCAGGATAATGTGCAAAGGAATTCACCCCCACGGGGGTGGACAGTGCCTGAGCTAAAATCGGTGCCCCTACCTCCTTGCCTTGCTTGGCGAGATGTGAGATTCTCCTCTTCTGCCCCGGGAACAGGGTGGTCAGGCCCGCGTGCCCCTTCTCCTCGCTCTTCTCGTCCTTGGGGGGCTGAAACACACGCCTGCTCAGCACAGACATCTGCAGGCCGAAGCGCCCTGACACCAGCACACACGCCCCCTCCTCCCAGGCTCAAACCACCCGCCTGTGCATAGTGGGAGGAACCCTGCTGACCCGAGACAACAGGTGGGCCAGCCACTGCCTGAACCTTGCAGCCCAAGGCCCCAGCACCAGCCTGGCCTGGCCCTGGGCCACCTCCCAGGCCTGAGGAGCTGCAAATTCTGCCAGTGGGCCCGGCTCCACCTCTCCTGCTCCCAGCCTGGGCAAGAGATAACTCCAGACAGGACAGGGGAGGCCAGATCTGGAGGGAACAGGCTGAGTCCAGTTCTACTCAGGGAGAGCTCCCTCTGGTGGCCAATGTGGGCACACTGGACACAGACCCAGATGGGTATTGGATGTCCTGAGCAGGCCAGGGCTCCCTAACGCTGAGGGGAAGCAGGGAGCATAGAGTACTGGACAGAGACTAGGGGAGAAGTGAGCAGAAAAGAGAGAGAGGAGCTAGAGGGAAGGGAGAAGACGGGAGGGGGAGAGGAAGGGGTGCAGGAGCAGGGCAGGGTGGGTGGGGCCCGGTACCCCTTGGACGGTCAGTCTGCACGTCAGTCGGCACGCTGGCTGCCTCGGGACCCGGCTGGGTGGGCCGTAAGCCCACATCCTCTTTCTGGACAGGGTGCAGGGGGGCAGCAGGCGGCCACCAAGGGTTCCTGAGTTTTAAACGAGTTAATAGGCCATTGCTGAAGACAGAACTTCCACCTGTGGCTGCGGCTTGAGGCATCTGGAAACAGCTGCAGGATGGAAGGTCCCCAGGCCAGGGCCACTGCCACAGCCCCGAGCAGCAGGGCCAGCAGTGGACCCCATGGCCGTGACTGCCTGGCGCCCCTCACCTGCCGCGCCAGCCGGCCCTTGTCCTCTGTCTTCACGCTGGTGGACTCGTTGAAGATCCGAAGACATTCCTCCATGGGGTCTGAGTCAAAGTCGACCTCCTTCTCCAGGGCTGAGTAGTCCACGTCCTCCTCAGACTCTCCCTCGGCCCCCGGGGAAGAGGAGGATGACAAGGAGGATGAGGACAAGGCTGTGGTGGCGGTGGCTGAGGCTGTAGTTGAGGTGGCTGGGGGCGTGGGGGTGAGGGTGGGCGTAGGTGGCGGAGAGGACTTGAGCCGCTTGGGCACCTGCACCTCGGAGACGCCCAGGCTGGATTCCGAGTCTGAGTCCGAATCTGAGTCTGAACTGAGGCTGGGGAGCGTGGGGGGCCACACCTGTGGGGTCCCAGACCCTGGGCCCGTGTCTTCGTCCTCGCTTTCGTCCCCAAAAAGCTCAGCATGGCTCAGGGCCCTCTTCTTCAGCTTGGGGGCATCCTGGGAGGCACCCTCGTCCAGCGAGCGGGCCTTGCGCTCCCCTAGCTTGCCCGCTGGAGCCTTCTCACTGCCCCTCCTGTCTGGCAGCTGCTGGGGGCCAGGATGAGAGTCTTGGGCCCAGGGGCCCCCAGTAGTTGGGTGGTGGGGCTTCCCTTTCCCTGAGCTGGCCACTGGAGTGGCTGAAGATGGCTTTTTCTTGGTCCCGTTCGGCTTCTCAGCCTTGTGCTGGGGGCTGCTGGCCAGCAAGCTCCTCTTATCCGGCCCAGACTTATCCTGGGCCTGCCCTCGGTCCCGGTCCTTTGTCTTGTCTTTCTTCCGGGATTTGTCCTTGTGGCTGGGGGTGGGTGGAGTCCCACATTTCTTCTTCTTGGCTCTGTCCTCCTTGGGGCAGCTCCCATCCTGCAAGGCCCTGGTCGGGGAACTGGGCTTGGCTGGGGGCACCACATCCAGGTCCTTTGGGGACTGCCCGAGGTCCCCAACGTCATACTGCACAGCTATCTCCTTGGTCTCCCGCAGGCTGCCCTCCTCAGGCTCCAGGCCCTCCCTGGAGGACGGCTTCCCGGTGGCCTTGCTCTCAGAGCCAGCCCCGGCCTTGGGGGCGCTGGCTACGACAGGCTTGTCGCCACCTGGGGGCACGGTAGTATCATCTTCTGAGTCTGAGAACCTGGCGTCACAGCCACTGAAGGGGTCACAGGGCTTCTTGACAGCAGGCATGTAGGGCTCGCTGCCATGGGGGCCCCGGGGCCGCTTGGTTGCCCTCTCATCCCTGGAGCTGGCTCTACTAAGGTGCCGGGCTGAATAGTTGGAAAGTGGGTCGTACTCCAGGTCTGTGGACGGCTTGGAATTGTCCACTACATACTTGCTACTGGCCATGGGTCGGCCATACCGCTGGGGCTGGCCCACGGCCTTGGGAACGTACTCCAGGGCACCCCCTGCCTTGCCCTGGCCCCTCTCCAGAGACTCTAGGGAGTACTTGCTGCCCGGCTCTGCAGGGGCCAGTGGGGTGGGCTGGTAGCCGGCTTCAGGGGTAAGCAGGCCATGGCTTCCAGGGGTATAGGTAAAAGCCAGTGGAAAGGCGCCCTCGTCCAGGCCCGTGGAGGGGCTGGCAACTGGGCCGCGGGGTGCCAGGGCAGAGGTCCCACCGGCACTGGGCTCAGCTGCTCCATACTCTCGGGCCGTCTCCAGGAGCTCCTGGTAGCGCCGCTGCTCCAGCTCCACCTCACTGCGCACGGCCTCGATGGCCTGGTTGACCAGCTCCAGCTCCAAGATGTCTGAGCGTGACTCATCACCGCAGCCCAGCATGCCATTTTCCCGCTGTGCTGGGGGCTTGGGCAGTTCAGGGTTATATGGGTCGTAACCAAGGCCTAGAAGGGAGAGAGAAGCGTGGGTAAGTGGTACTGCTAAAGGCCAGCCTCGCCTTGGCATCTGCAGGGAAAGAGCTGTAATACTGGTCCCAGGCCAAAGCAGATATCCAGCTTACCAGGCCCCATGTAGAGGATGAGAGACAGGCACTGGAGGAGTACGTGGGTGTCAGAGGGGCAGGAAGGAAGGTCAGGATCCTGAAGATTTTGTGGAATGGCTCACGGAATTCACACTATGAATTCATTCCACAGTGCAGTGATGTGGAGACAGTACAGAGTGGAACTACTTTGGCCAGTGGACTGAGGCCCCAGGGCTTGAGGCTCCAGGCTAGGCTGATGACTCCATCTTGGGAGTGGACGTGAGGGTAAGACCATCTATGGATCACGTGGCTCCACCTGGCCAGCAGCTACCTGTACCCAGTGTATCCTACAGGCCTTGCTATGCTGCCCAGGCTGGCCCTGAACTCCTAGAGTCAAGCAATAGTCCTGTCTCAGCCTCCTGAACAGCCAAGATTTGCGCTGTATGCCACAAGGGTCAGCTCCCACAAACTTTGCTGCCCACAGCAAAGCTCATGGAAAACAGAAGCCAAAGACTTGTCTACCACTCAGCAGGACCAAGTAGGCAAAGCACACACCCATTCAATGGGCTGTAACACATGAGATGACTTTTTTTTTGGCACACAGACTTGAAGGAAGCCAGGCACAGTGGTACACGGCTGTCATCCCAGCACTCTGGAGACAAGCAGACTTCAAGTAGGAGCCCAGGCTGTCCAAATTTATAAGACTCTGTCTCAAAAAATTAAAAAGAGCTACATTGAGCCGGGCGTGGTGGCGCACACCTGTAATCCCAGCACTCAGGAGGCTGAGGCAAAAGGCTCATTGAGAGTTCAAGACCAGTCTGGGCTACAAAGTGAGCTCAAGGCCAGTCTGAATTCCATAGTGAGACCCTGTCTCAAAAGAGACCCCCCCCCCAAAAAAAGAGCTACAGGGCTCAGTGCAAAAGCCCTGTTCAATCTGCAGCATTAGGGAAAAAGGGAAAAAAAGGGTGAGAAGGACAAACTGCCACAGACCAGACAAGGGAAGACAGAATAGGCAACCAGGTGGTGAGAGACAGCCACGAAGCCACCGAGGAAACCCACATGAGATATTGTGACCTCTCTGGGGCTGAGAGTGGCAGTAAGAAATGCGAGGGGCTCTGTCAGCAAAGCAGTTCTGAAACAATCAGGGCGGCCACCTTTCACTCTGCGTGCAGACTCAGGACCCCAGGATGCACCTGCAGACTCATCTCCACAGAGGCGGCCCGTGCCACTGAATGCCTTCTGCAGAAACCCAGTACACCCACTCAACACCTAGACACGGTCTACTGGGGCTGGAAAGGACGAGCGCCCTACGCCTTCTCCAAGCTTCCTTGCTGCGTGGCACACTGGAGCAGGACGGGGGAGACTCCAAAGTATGGTACCTCTGTTCCCTTCTTTAGATGGCATTTCTGTGAACACAAATCAACTGTTGATCTGGACAGATGCCACCGGGCCACAATGGCCCCTCGGGGGCTGCTGAACAGCAAATATAACCAGGTCGTTTCTTTCTTTCTTGGGGTGCTGGGGCTAGAACCCAGTGTCTCGAGATTGCCAGGCAAGCACTCATGACTGAGCCACACCCCAAGACCTCACCAACGTTCTCTTATTCTGCGAGGTGCTCAGAACCTGGGGGGACAGCATGTCCTTGGAAGACAACTAACACGAGCGGGAGGAGCCCTAAACCACGTCACGGCCACAGGCCACTGTAACGTCCAGGGGCAGCCCCACGGAATCTGTGCTCGTGTATCACCAGATCCCCTCTACAGAAGCCCTGCGTCTGTGGCCTCACCGTTCCAGAGGACCTGCAGACATACCCACAGGGAGCGGACGGCCATGCAACACAGGCGCAGCTGTGGTGCACACTCCTAGGATGCTGAGGAGAGCAGCAACGCTGAGGCTCCTCCAGCCCAGTCCCCGTGCAGCGTGGGAGGAACCAGTAGGTTCCCAAGCTGCTCCCCAAGATGTGACTGTGCAGGCAGAACGTGCTCCCCAAACAGCCCCTGCCCTGACGCCTGGAGCCTGAGGCTATGTCACCTCATGTGGCAACAGAAATGCTGCAGATGGAACCATGTGGAAACCCTAAGAGGGGGTCATCCTGATCACCAGGGCTCAACATTACCCAGGGTCCCCCTGAGCAGGCATGGGACGGTGAGAAGCCAACAAAGACTTCTGCTGCCGGCTTTGCAGATGGAGAAGGGGCTACAAGCCGAGGGCTGCGGCACCTCTAAGAGTGCGGATGGGGACCTGGGTTCTCCCCGGAGCCTAGGGAGGAGCAGCCCTGCTGCCCGAGCCTGTAGACTTCTGCCCTCCAGACTGTGAGATGAGTGATTTGCAGTTTCAAGCAAACAACTGCAGGATCTGGGGCAACTTCATTGGGCATACAAAGTACAGAGCAAACCCAGAGGCTTGCATCTGCAGAAGGGATGGGGCAGAGGATGTGGCTAGTCAGGAAACTGTGGCACAGAGAGGGGACACCGGCTTGGAACCACACACTGTGCCCATTTTAAAAACTGTATTTATTTTTGTTCTTTATTTTTGAGGCAGGGTAGTGCTATGTAGTTCAGGCTGATCTTCAACTATGTAACCCAGGCTGGCCTCAAACTCACAGCAATCCTTCTGCCTCAGCCTCCTGGGTGCTGGGCTCACAGGTGTATACCACCACACCAGGCTAAAACCTGTATTTAAAAAGTAGAAACAATGCCGGGCATATTGGCGCACACCTGGAATCCCAGTACTGGGGAGGCTGAGGTGGGAGGATCGTTGTGAGTTCGAGACCAGCCTGGGCTACAAAATGAGCTCAAGGCCAGCCTGAACTGCACAGCGAGAGCCTGCCTCAAAAAGACAAAAAAAAAAAAAAAAAAAAAAAGTAGAAACAAGTCTTCTATCTACTCTTCGGCCCGAGCTGTGTGGTACAGGGGGGAGGGGAAGAGAAAGCCCACAAGGCTGCCAGTGCCACCTGTGGGACTGTCTAGGAGCACTGACAGGCCAGCACACCGCATCCCTGTCCATTCAGAGGGAGGCCTGCCCTGTCCATCTCACAGCTGAGGGCTGGGGTCAGGAAGCCCAGCAGCCCTGCTCCACCTGGTGTGCAGGTGAGGCTGGGCCAAGTAGGAATGGACAGCCCCCAGGTAAGGGCCACCTGGGAACCCAAGAGGGGCACTTACTGGGCATGTGCTGGTGGGCTGGTGTGCTCCAGGCTCGGGCTGGCACCCTGGGGACAGGGCCAGCAGGAGGAAGGCAGTTCTGTGCGCACCAGGTGCCTGAGGAGCGGATCAAGGCCCGAAGCTCTGCTTCTAAGCCCAGTCCTCAAGGCCAAGCGCACGTGAGGCCAAGCACAGTGCTGGCCACCGGAGTCACCCTCCAGCCGTTCTCACAGCCACTGAGGTGATGTGTCCTGTGTTTGGGTTTTGCAAGATGCCACCGCCTGGGTCAGGACAAAGATGTCACCCAAAACCACCCACCCAGGAAGGAGTTTCAGGAAGGAATGTACCTGCTGCTCTACAGGGCAGAGGCTGCCTGCCACGGGGCAGAGGCCATGGACCCGGGTGGGGAAGGGGCTTGCTCTGTAGCCAAGTAAGGGCACTGGAACCTGCCTTAGCCTCCAGCTGGAGGGATGGCTGGGCAGCACTCCCAGGGGAGCCCCAACCAGTGGCAAGGGCAGGGATGCTCGGGGATCTGTGCAGTCAGCCCCTCCCGGAGCCCTGGAGGAACGAAGGACAGTGCTGTGAGGGTGTCAGGAAGGCTGCACCAGAGAAACTGCCCTGGTGCACCTGAGATGGTCAGCCATGATCCCCTTTGAGCCGCTCTGTCAGCTACTGAGCTGGAGTTCTGGCCTAGACTGATCCACAGGTCGAGCACACAGCAGTCACGGGCCCTGGGTCCGCCTCCTGCAGCTCAGAACTGGACACACAGGCTCCAGGATGGGCTCCAGGTGACCGGAGGCGTGGGGCCCAAAGTGGAAAGTGTCAGCTCTTGCCACTCCTCAGGTCACTCACCTGGCTGCCTGCCCCCCTCCACCCTGCCTCAGAAGTTTGAGTCCTTTGGGGACCTCAGGGATGAACAGCCTCCCCAGGAAAATGTCCTGCATGTCCCTGTGGCTGGTGCCTCTAGGGGGGCTCATCCTCCCCTTGGGGTGGGGGCTCATCCTCCTCTTGGGGTGGGGGCACATCAGGATCTGGGGCTGCTCAGTGGTGAGCACCTGCTTAGCATACCCAAGAACACACACACACACACCAATAAATAAAAAAGGAGTATCTTGAGGTGGGAAGGGCCTATTAGGGGACTTTGGAAGGTGCCTTCCAACCACTGGAAAATTAATCTAGATGGAATGGAGCCAACTGGGGTTCCTTCAGGGGCCGGGCCAGGTGTATATGTTTGGTAAAAGAGATTAAGTGGCTGTTTTTGAGAAAAAGGATTTACAGCTGGGAGTGATACTGACTGCCTGTAAATTGCAGCTACTGGAAGGCTGAAGCAGGAGGATCACAAATTGGAGCCCAGCTGGGGCAACTTAAGTGACTTAGCAAGACCTGTCTCAAAATAAAAAAAAAAAAAATAAGCGGGGCATGGTAGCGCACACCTGTAATCCCAGCACTGGGGAAGCTCAGAGTAGCCTTGAACTCATGGTGATCCTTCTGCCTCAGCCTCCTGAGTGCTGGGATTACAGGCATGTCCCACCATGCCTGGCTCTCAAAATAAAAAAAATTTAAAAGGGGCTGGAGATCTGAGTGGTAGAGTGCCTACAGAGCATGCACAAAACCCCAGCACCAGAAAAGAAAAAAAACAATAAAGAAATGGGGTGGCACACACATCCTCGGCTGACTGGAAGTCCCCAAAACCTGTGTTCCATGAATGATGGCCTTAATCTCAGCCTCTCCTACGTTAAGAGGGGAGGGTACTGCCAAACCCCAGCAATCTCCAGGAGGCCAC